TCTAAATTTGTCCCTGGGTGTGAGTGCAAGTGTGAATTGTTGTTTGTTGATGTGAGCCCTGCGATTGGCTGGCAACCGATTCAGGGTGTCCCCCGCCGACTGCCCGAAGACTGCTGGGATGGGCTCCAGCACCCCCCGCGATCCTAGTGAGGATAAGCGGATCAGAAGATGAATGAATGAATGAATGTTTGTTTTTTACTTGGGATCCCAGCTGACTTTGGACAGTAGGCAGGGTAGACCCTGAAGTGGTTCCCAGCCAATCGCAGGGCACACATCGACAAATGGCCATTCGCACTCACAATCACACTTTGGGACAATTTAAAGCATTCAATTAACTGACCTTGCATGTTTTGGAACGTGGGAGGAAACCGGAATACCTGGAGAAAACCCTCGCAGGCAGTAGGAGGACACGCAAACTCCACACAGGAATTGAATCCATGACCTCTGCACTGTGAAGTGGGGATTTGAGCGACGTGCTGCCGAAAGTTTAAATTATTAATGTCAAATGTTTTTCATTTGTAAATTGCCAAACCATCGTTTTTCGTCCTACGCAAACTCCAGGCAGGCATACGCTGCAGTTTTTGACTCAAGATCCAAATTTGTCATCTGAATTGGATTTATTTTTGTATTGTGTAGGTTATAAAAATGCAGCCAAGTAATTGACCCTCAGCCAAAAAGCTTTGTGATTTAGCACCAGAGCACTTTTGATCCCATTGGAAAATGTTATGGCCTCCTGCCCCTCACTTCAACATAGTTCCTTGGTCCCAAGATGGCATAAAGCAATATTGGGGTGGAAAAAAAAAGACAACAGACAATTACCCCCTTGGTGAATAGTGAGTATAGTCCCCCCCCCCAAAAAAAATAAAAGCCTGAATGCCCAACTGGATATATGTGGAGCTTCATTGAATTTCCATCACCATTGACATTGGTTTACTACAACAAACAGGCCCTTTTTCAGCCTTACTACCAAAAGTATAAATCATAAACAGGAGCGTAGCCAGAGATTTTTTTTGGGGGGGGGGGTACATTATACCAATGATATGCTAATGACATTGTTCCTGTTTCAGGGAGATAGCATGCCAGCATGAGTGGGCTACATGCAGGCCCAAGCCGGGAGTCCAGCCGCCCGATAAGCCCTGCCTGTGACCTCTCCCGCTACTCCCGATCCAACTACAATAAAGATCCCAGCACAACCATGTCCGCCGCCGCCTCCTCCCTACAGCACGCATCCATTTACGGCTTTGCGCAGAGGGACCCTTCGCCCCCCTCATCCACCTACAGCCCCCTGAGGAGGCTGCAGCATCTCACCACCATGGTGAGCCAGCCCGACTTAGTTTTGCCCGCCCGGCCAGGTAAGAGCTGGGAGTGGGCCGCCTCTGATCAAAACGAGTCGGAGCGGGACTCCTGGGTCGACTGTGCCGGCAGGGATTACTGCGACGCCACTTTTGCAAAACAAGGCGAGGTCCAAAGTGGCAGCTCTAACGAGGAGCCGGCAGCCAGCTGTAACAGTCCCACCGTGTCAGAGAGGAAGACGGACAGTTGTTTCTCCTGCCCGCCCAGCCCGGCCTTCTCTCTCGATAGCAACAGCCCCTTTGCAAATGGCCTCCTTCATTTTGAATCCTCTTTGTTCGAGGACGAGGATCACCACAACTGTGACAAAGAGCAGGAGCAGCAGCAGCATCAGCAGGAGGAGACATACTTTGCCGTCACAGACTCGCGGGATAAACGCAAGACCCCAGAGAAAGAGCTTCAGTCTGCCACTGTGGATTTGCAATCAGAAATCAAGGATGCAAATGTTCCATCTGCAAAAGTCATCACCCGGTCCCAGTCGTCGGGTTTTCGCCGAAGGTACTGGGATGTTTCCGATGACGATTGGGAGAGCGACACGGATCTCTTCCTTTTTGGCGATAGCCCCTCCAGGCATTTGATGGCAAGTCTTATTCCAATTACAGAGGGTACAGCAGGTCCTTGGTTTGCATCTGAGTTGGGGTGCCACAGCGCAACTTGAATTTAATGTAAGGTGGAACATCGTGTATCGCGAATCTAAAGCATTCGCAAATTAATTACTCACCTCTACTTTATTTTTAGACTGCTATATAAACCACTATAGCTAGGTACAAAGTGCTCTGGAGAGGTAGCAGAAAAAACTTGATCCCCTCTGAGCCTCAGTTTAAGTATCAAGTACAACTTTATTGTCAAACGTGCTGTATGTGTTACAACAGCAACAAAACAGTTTAAACCTCGCTACCTCCAATCGTGTCTGGTTAGCTGACCTGAGGCACCAGGGCAGGTGTGTAGGGGTGGAGAAGCTCAGGGAGGTAATGTGGGGTGAAACCATTTTAAGATTTAAAAACAAATGAAAGAATCTTAAAATGAACCCGAGCGTGTACAGAGCCTCTAAAGGGAGGCCGGAATTGGAGTTTTGTGTTCCCTCCTATGAGCTGCACTTTGGAGCGCCTGCATTTTCGACCAACTAGAGTCGCTCGAGGAAGGACTGGCGAACTCCAAAGTAAAGTGAAACAAAATTACAGTTAATATTTTTCAGAAAATCGCTTAAAGAAATACAATGAAAAGATGTAAGTACCGCGGTCAACTGTGAGCATGACTTCTTGTGACACCGCTCCCCATACTCGAGATCCTTGCGCGCTGTTTCTAGCCTCGAGACGTCGTGTGTCATAAGTGACAACGCACCTTCTTGGTGTTGTTGATGTCGAGGAACTAGACATTAGTAGTGCAGTGTTTTGTGAGGGATAAACGTCAAAATGCTTCATGGCTGTTTTTTTTTTTTTTTTTTTTTTTTTTTAAACATTGTCGACAGCAGAGCGACATGAAACGAAGCGCCGTGCCACCTGTCAAGTTTCTGGAGGGCGAGGTCATTTGGGCAAAGTTCAGCCGACGGCCGTGGTGGCCGTGCGAGGTGATTGTTGACCCTGCGCAGGGAGTCTATCACAAGGTTAAAGGTGCGCCAATAACACTGTTGGCTGGATGCAAATGTCTTGTGGTTTTGTCGCTAACCGATGATTGTGACTATCTTTAGAGCCCAGCGATCGGCCCTGTCGACTCTACCACATCAGGACTTTTGGGGACCAGGAGGAGCAAGCCTGGGTGGAGGACAAATCGACTCATATTTTTCACGGAGGCTTTCAGTTTGAGCAGCTTGCACAAATGCGCAGGAAGGGGAAGCAAAGAGGGCCGAACCACAAATACACCGTAATTCCCTTCTTTGTGTTGAATTGATTGCTGCATGCAATAATCAGATGTTGATCTGGATCTTCAATGACTTTGTGTTTCCGCAGATCGCCAAACGCTATGAAGCGTCTTGGAAATTGAGTGTGGCTGAAGCTGAAACTATTCTCCAGCAAAGGCCCAACATAGACTCTTTAACCATAGACACTACCTTCCAAGACAGTTCACCGATGATTACCAAGCCCTGTCCACCTATTTCCCCATCTTCCCCCGCTGCTTCTAATCTTCTGGAAAAGTCGCACGCAATCAGTGGATCGATATCTTGCCAGACATCATCCCCAGTAGAAAATAAGCAAGGCACTTTAAAGAAGTCTTCTGACAAGAGGGAAGACTTCAACTCCTCAATTAAGCAGTCTAAAAAGGTCCGACATCACAACCCCAACCAATCAGATAAGAATGTAGAGTGCCCTTATTCGGACCTTGAGTCGGTCCCTAAGATTTTGTGTCCAAAAGCACCTGAACGCCAAACCACGTGGACTCAGTCACCTGCTAATCTCGCCAAGGAGGAAAAGAGACAACCGGAGATGCAAAGTGGTCTTTGGTTTAGTAAATCAGGCAAAGACAGACGACCAAAAACTGTTACTCCAGAACGGTCAGATCGTACGCTTGTCACCAATGTACTCAGTAAGAAAAAGACTTTGGCTGTGACTAAAAACTTGACGGCTCAAGGGGATAATGCCTCCTTGGCCGGACAAGGTGACCAGGGTGGATTGGTAAATCCCGAACCAAAGGTTCTGTCTGAGCAGTCATGGCAGTTGGACTCTAAAAACAACATTGTAGCTAGCGACCCTGCCGAAAGTAGTCCTGAGCTGTTGTCTCAACACCAGCTGTCGATCGATTCTTCTGACCCTCTTGGATTGTCACAACCGCAAGAGTCGGTGGTCTTTTCTGAACCTTTTCAATCTTCAGAAAACAAACAGTCCGTGGCTCCTTTTGACTCACAAGGATTGTTACGGAAGCAGGTGTTCACAGATTTTTCTGACTCTCTGGCATTGTCACAAAAACAAGAGTCAATGTTATCTTCTGACCCAGCAGGAATGTCACAAAAGCAGAAATCTGTGGATTCCTCTTACCCTCGAGGTGTATCACAAAACCGTGAGTCTCGGAATTGTTCTGACCCTCGAGCATCTTCTCAAAAGCGCAAATTAGTGGTTTTATCAGACTCCCGAGGATTGTCCCAAAAGTGCAAATCAGTTGATTCTTCTGATGCTGGAGGATCATCTCAAAAGCATAAATCTGTGGATTCCTGTTACCCTCAAGGATCATCAAAAAAGCTGAAATTTGTGCCCCCTTCTGACTCTCAAGGATTGTCCCAAAAGCAGGAGTTAGTCGATTCTTTGGAACCTCGAGGATTGTCCAAAAAACAGAAGTCAGTGGATTGTTTCAGTACTGAAGCATTGTCACAGAAGGACTCCAGGGATTCTGCTGACCCCCAAATGTTCCCACCAAAGCAGAGGTGCGTGGATTTTGCAAACCCAAGGCAGAAGGATGTGGGTGTTTCTGATCGACTGTCTCACAAGCAGAAATCGGTGGATTCTTCTGACCTTCTAGAATTATCACCACAGCGGGAGTCCAAGGGTTGTTCTGACCTTCCAGTATCATCGCAAAAGCAGAAGTTGGTAGATTCTTCATGCGCTCAAAGATTGCCACAGGATTCTTCCATTCCTGGAACATTGTCACAAAAGCAGAAATCCATGAATTCTTCAAACCTTCAAAGATCATCGCAAAAGATGGAGTCTATGCATGGGTCTGATCCTCGAGGACCATCGCAACAGCAGACGTTTGTGGATTCTTATGACCGTCAAGGACTGTCACAAAAACAGGAGTCTAAGGATTCTTCTGACCCTCAAAGGGTGTCCCAAAAGCAAAAGTCGGTTGATTATTTTAAGCCACAAGGATTGTCAAAAAGGGGGGCATGGCATTCTTTTCACCACCAAACATTGTCACAAAAGCAGACGTTATTTGATTCTTCTCACCCCCGAGGATCGTCCCAGAAGAAGTCAATGGATTCTTTTTGCTCGAAAGAATCGTCACAAAAGCAGGAATCCATAGATACATCAGACCCCCAAAGATCATCACAAAAGGAGAAGTCAGTGAATTCTTCTCAACCCCAAGGATCATCACAAAAGCCGAAGTTGGTGGATTCTTCAGTACCCCAACTGTTGTCACAAAAACAGAAATCAGGGGATTCTCCTGGCCCTCGAGGGTCGTCACAAAAGCAGAAGTCCAGGCATTCGCCTGATCATCGAGGATCATCACAAAAGCCGAATTCCAGAGATTCTTCTGATTCCCGCGGACTGTCAAAAAAGCAGGAGTTCAAGGCTTCCTCTGACCATCGGGTATTGTCACAAAAGCAAGCATCTAAGTATTCTTCTGACCACCGAGTTTCATCACAAAAGCTGAAGCCAAAGGATTCTTCTGAACCTCGAGGATCCTCACAAAAACAGGAGTCCAGGGATTCTTCTGACCCTCAAGTTTCATCCGAACAGCTGAAGTTGGTGGATATTTCTTACCCTTGCGGGTCAGTACAGAAGCAGGTGTCCATGAATTCACCCGACCATCAAGGATCCTCACAAAAGCTGAATTCTTTTGACTCCTGTGGATTGTCAAAAAAGCGGGAGTCCACGGGTTCTCCTGACCAACGACGATTATCTCAAAAGCAGGAGTCCAAGTATTCTTCTCACCCTCAAATTTCATCACAAAAGCTGAAGTTAATGGATTCTTCTGAACCTCGAAGATCATCACAAAAGCATGAGTCCAGGAAGTCTTCTGACCCTCAGGTTTCATCAGAAAAGCTAAAGCCGATGGAATCTTCTGACACTCCTGTGGCATCACAGAAGCAGGGGTCCAGGGATGCTCCTGATCAAGGATCATCACAAAAGCCGAATTCCATGGATTCTTGTGACTCCCGTGGACTGTCAAAAATTCAGGAGTCCACAGGTTCTTCTGGCCCACGAGGACTGTCACAAAAGCAAGAGTCCAAGTGTTCTTCTGATCCTCGAGTTTCATCTCAAAAGGTGAAGTCAAAGGATTCTTCTCAACCTCGAGCAATGTCACAGGGCCAGGAGTCCAGGATGTCTTCTGATCCTCGAGTTTTGTCAGAAAAGGTGAAGTCGGTGCATACGTCTGACTCGTGCAGGTCATCATGGAAGGAAATGTCCAGGGACCCTCGTGGAACATCCCATAAGCAGAAGTCATTGGATTCATTTGAGCTCCGAAGATCATCACATAAACATAAGTTATTGGATTCTTCTGACCCTCCAGTATCCTCACAAAAACTGCACTCTGTGGACTCCTCTGACCCTCAGGGATCATCGCAAGTGTCTGTGGATTCCCGCAGGTCCTCTAAGAAGTGTGGTTCCTTAAAATCTCGGCAAATTATCCCTAATTCTAAACACTCTGCCAAACGGTCGACTCCTCAAAGCAGCGCACACGTCAAGAAGTTCAGGAAGAGGACCGGTGTAAAGCACAGCAGTCAAAGTGATCATTGTAAATCGAAGGCCAGTAAAACAGTTGCTCCATGTGGTTTATACCAGACGGAAGAAAGAGAAAACAATACCAAGGCCAAGTCCAGTTTAAGTGAAGTATCAACAGACCTTCAAAAAGCTTTGATTGCTATGTGTAAACTACCATTCATTAAGTTGATGCGCGGCGACATAAATATTCAGAATTATTGGAAGTCTAAAATTGCTATTAGTTACAATGACCAAACTGGATGTTCAAACAGTAATGAACTCCAAAGAACAGCGGCTCACTCCTCATCTAAGTCAGACTTGACGCACGCAGCAGCAACTATCTCTAAAAATAGTGTAGACAAAAAAGTTTCCCAAAACAGCGGAGACAATACGGTTTCTGGGAATGTTGAAGACAAGAGGCTTTCTGGAAATTGTGAAGTCAAAATCATGCCCAGAGATGGTGAAGACAAAAGTGTGTCTAGAAATGGTGAGGTCCAAAGTGTTTCTAGAAATAGTGACGACAAAGGGGTTTCCAGAAAAAATGAAGAGAAAGGTGTGTCCAGACATGGTGAAGAAAAAAATGTTTCCCGAGTTGGTGAAGACAGGAAAAATGAGGACAACAGTGTTTCGAGAAAAGCGGTGGACAAAGTTGCATCTAACGGTGAACACAAAGTCGTTTACAGGCTCACTGAAGACAAACATGTTTTCAGAAAAAATGAGGACAAAATTGCGTGCCGAAAAAACGAGAGCAAAAATTTTTCCACAAGTAATGGACACGACCCTGTTTTCAGAAGAAAAGAGGGAAAAAATGCATCTGAAAGTGGTGACGACAAAGGTGTGTCTATAAATTGTGAAAACAAAAGTGTGTCCAGAAATTGTGGAGATATAAGTGCATCTCGAAAGAGTGGAGACAAAATTGTTTCCAGAATTGGTGAAGGCAAACCTGTTTTCCGAAAAACTGAAGACAAACTTGTTTTCCGAAAAAGTGAAGACAAAAGTGCTTCAAGAAATCCTGATCCCAAAAGTGGCCCCCAAGAGACAAGTGTTTCGGGAAGTGCATTTGAAAATGTTGACACAAGTGTTTCAGGAAAATGTGACGAGGCAATTGTTTCCAGAAAGAGTGTGTCCAGGAATGATACCGGCTCTTCCGACTCCTGTCTGGCAGAGACTGAAGCAAAGTGTCCGACTGGTGCCCCCAAAGGTACCACAATTTCTTGCGATCTTTCAGAAGGTTCACAGCAACGTGAGACTTGCGCCTCGAGCTTGCTGCACGTCACAACCCCCGTGCCCTCTCAGTACGATACAAATTCAGTATCTGGCAATGGTCAGGTATCCCAAGAGCCATCATCCCCCAAGACCAATGCCCTTAAATCAAAGCACATCCCCGATCAATTGCCCGACGTCCTACCACAAGAACAGCCCGCCCATCTCCCAGCTAGCAATCGGCTGATGACCGGAGCCCTGAAAACCATGAAGGTGCTGCAAAAGCTGAAGCACAGAAAAGCCAAAAAGAAGGCCGCTCAGAATGAAGTCTTGCCTCATGGCCAAAACCAGGCCAACCTGGATTACCATGCTAAGAACTGCGCTTGGAACAAAGAAAGCAATTTGGACGTTTGCACTAAAGTCAAACCGGTCGAGCCTCGATATAGCGCCATTTCTTCCGATGATCGGGACGCTGTATCCAGTTGTCGTACCCCTCCTTTGCTGTTGCATGATTGCACTGAAGTCAAGAGCGAAGAGGAAGTCCTTTCGGTATCTTCAACACCACCAATGGACTTCATACCACTCACCTCCAATGTCAGGACAAAGGAGGTGGACCAAAGCACCTCCTCGCCTTCCCCTCCCTCGCCGTTTTCCTTTATGAATGCTTTGAAAAACGTGAAAGAGGTGTCCTTCCAATCTTTGACCGACGAGGCTAACGGCAAAGTGCTCACCTTCAAACCAGACCTGAATTACAAGTTCAGCACTTTTCTTATGATGATGAAAGACATGCATGACACTCGAGAGCGTGACGGGGCCCCCTTAGAACTGGAAATTGGACCACCAAGTGCCCACGTCAAGCAGGAGCCCTTGGTCATGCCTGGAGTGGCTGCACTCGCGGGCCTAGAACAAGACGTTGTGAATGGTGATCCAGATTTTAGCCCAGGCATGGACACAAGTCGAAGTCACATGTCCAAGCGGCCTTACAAGAGAAGGAGCAGCTCCTCTTGGATGAAGAGCAAAAATGGTCGCAAAGTGCCGAGTCGTCCCGCTGGGTCTGGACCCGGGTACCCGGGCGTGGGGTCCTTGCTTGGAATTGACTTTTCCTCTGTACTGGATTACTCTGCAAAAGTCCGGTCCCTGTTGGATATGCAGGCCTCCCCCTGGGAGGGCCAGCCCGGGAGCGATGGAGGATTGTTGACGTGGGGTGGAGACTTTGAACAGATGAATGGCTTTTCTTCCAACTCCACCCAAGCCAAGACCGGAGAAGGCGATGGCGATTCCTCTGGTAAGTAATGACCGTCTAGATAAGGGGTAGGCAACTCCGACCCTCGACGGCCGGTATTCTGGATGTTTTGTGTCTCCCTGCTCCAACACACCAGATTGAAGTATTGTATGCAGTACCTTCACAACAGTTCTCCTGAGTAATAATTACGACTCGATCAGATTAGGAGTATCCCATTGAAATCAAGAATAATACATTACAAGTTAAAGATCTCTGCGAGTGCCCATTGACTGTAACTGCATTAAATCTATCGTAGATTATTGTTTATGCTATGAAATCGAGGTTAAAAAAAAAACGAAGATAAGTAGGGGACTGTGTAGTCACCCCTGTGGTGCTCCTTTGTTGATTGTAAAAACAAAATGCAGTACATTTAGCATGTGTGTGAAAATTGCAGTCCGTGTTTCATAAATGCAAAATTTAAATGTTTTTTCGTCTTTTAGCCAATAAACGAGTACGCAAGCCAAGCAAAAGGCTCCTCGAATGGACGGAAGAGTACGACCACATATTTTCTTCAAGGAAGAAAACCAAAAAGCCTCTTCAGACAATTACGATGGTAAGGAAAGAAAAAAAATATATCATGAATACATTACTGTACAAATGACAATGAAATATGCCGCTGTGTTAGGCCAACCAAGCACTTTCATCCCAACCACCTGTACTGGACAAACATGTCCTCGAGCCGCCATCGTTGAGCGCACTTCCTGAAATGCAGACGCCGCCTCCGGAGGAAATCACCCTCACCACAGAACTCCAAATCCCCAGCGCTGAAAACGCATCCCCGCAGGAAGCGCAGCCGCTTTCCATCGACACGTTGACCCCGCCCCCTGAGGCTGAAGCGGAACCACCGCCAATTGAAGACCTTGCTGGAGACGACTGTGAGATGACGATGCCCTCTGGTCACAGTCATAATCATCTCTCATCCTTTATTTTTTTTTCTGTGACCTTTGATTTTCAGGCAATGCTGCTTTGCCACAAAAGAAGCGGAAGAGGAAACCAACTCCGAAGATCCTGGAATATTGTCTTGAAGCCGAGGCCTCTGTGGGCCCGAAGAAGAAGGTACGTCAGTCGCAAAGCTCTGGGAAATAATCTCCATATTTAAACACGCTGCTCTCCAATTACATGTTGTTGTTTTTTTTTCTGTAACGGAATATAGTTACTTTTTTTGTGGCGGGATTCTGAACACATGAATGACGCTGGTACATGTATTCCATGACTTTGTTTGTTTTTGTCGCAGATCAAAATTGTGAAGAACTCCTGCGAAGATCCTCAAACAGGTCAGTGAAGAAGTTCATTTGCAGTCGTGGCTTTTATCACAGCACCGCCCCCCCATTTCACATCTTGGTGTTGAAAAGAAAAGGCTGCTTGAGCTCAAACGGGTCTGTCTGACAGCGCTTCCAGATCCCGACCCTCCTGCTTTGAAGCCAATAAGCCCGGCGGTTCCCACGCCGTCGCCGCAGCCGGCGACAGCGACCCACCCAACTCCACCCAGCCCTCCTGGTCCCCCCGTGCTGGCACCGGCGCTGTCTGAGCAGGCGGATGATAAGGTTGCAGATGTCCACCTTCCTCAAGCGGACGACGGGTTCAAGTACACCACAGAGTCCGAGGTATTGCGAGTCACATTCTAGCGAATACAAAATGCGATGATGTCATGAGATCTCTTGGAAACTTAACACGGCAAATATTAGACACTGCTCCGAGAGTGATAAAATACAAACACAATAACGGATGCTCAATCCCAAATGTTTCAGACTGATATGAGGCGGACTTGCTCGGTGTTAGTCTTTTCTTTTCCTTTAAGTATCATGGCTGGTCTCGGTATCCTCTCTGAGTATCTGATACCTTGGCCCGATAACTGGTATCAGTCATTGCCCATCTCCAATGATAAACATATGAAAGGTTGGATTGCTGAAACTTCAGTTCATCGATTAAAAGTGGTCCTGAAAAGGTCTTTAGGTCTTCTGCTTACTCAACAGTCATGTATTTCTGGAGCAGTGTTTTGAAGGGACTTTGTTTTTGTCCCCCAGGGTGAAGCCTCCACGTTGGACCAGAGCTTCTCCTCCTCTCGAGACGACTCGTCGCCGTGCGACGATGCGCTCGGACAAGGCCGGAGGATCATCGGTGACCGAGGGGGCCCCGCCTCCTTGAAGGAGAACGTCTGTCAGGTGACCTCACATTCACGCTCGTACACTAATGAGTGGACTTCTCAGGAAGTTGCGGTTTAACTCCACAGTTGAGACTCGCAAGTTGTCTGACCTTTTGGTATTTGTGTCCTTTTCCAAGGACCGAAAAGCGCATGGGAGCATGCTTGAGTTGAAAATATCAAGTGTAGCCTTGGTATGTTTTCTTTCTAAAGTCGGCTTCTTTTTTTGTCAGGTGTGCGAGAAGACAGGGGAGCTGCTTCTCTGTGAGGGTCAATGCTGTGGCGCGTTTCACTTAGCCTGCATCTCCCTGGCCGAGGCCCCCAAAGGGAAATTTGTGTGCCCGGAATGCAAGTCGGGTAAGAATAATGGATAGGCTTCAATAGGCTCACTTTTTTAGTTTATTTCATTTTTGTTTTGTTTTGTTATGAGACACAAGCCATCGCCGAACCTCTGTTTATCAGTGTCGTAGCGAAACTGCTATTAGAACACAAACGGTGCCGCAACCGCACAGGTAGTCAGACAATAGAACCCTAATCACATGCATATATTTCTTATCCTCCTGTGAAAAGCAAGTAGTATTACTGCATCCTACGGAGTCACTTAGTTGTGAAACTCTTCTTCGGTTGTGCCTCTATGGACAGTACTGTACTGCCCCCTGGTGGTCACAAGAGCTGAACCGGATTCATGTCATTTTAATGATGGCAATGCGCAAAGATGATTTTGAGATACAAGTTGATTTGGGTCACGAGCATGCTAAGAAGGAACCAATATATATTTCCGTTGAAGTTTTTGGCTGTGCCGTGGGATCTTTTGGGGGACGGGGGTGGGGGGGGGGGTGCAAAATATGTGCCTCGGCTCAAATGTTGGCAAAGACTGGCCTGAACGGTGTCTTTTTGTCGTGCAGGCATCCACACCTGCTTTGTGTGCAAGAAGCGCAGCGAGGACGTGCGGCGCTGCATGATCCCCGTGTGCGGCAAGTTCTACCACGGCGAGTGTATCGCCACCTACGCGCCCACCGCGCCGGTCAGCCGCGGCTTCCGCTGCTCCATCCATGTCTGCCTCACCTGCTTCATCGCCAACCCCGGCAGTCCCTCCATCTCCAAAGGTGAGTCGCCGGGTCGCGTTCCGACCCGCGTCGTCGCCCCCCCCCAAACTCCCCCCGGCTTACGGGTGTTGTTTCGGCCAGGTCGTCTGGTGCGTTGCGTGCGCTGCCCGGTGGCTTATCACGCCAACGACCTGTGCATGGTGGCCGGCTGCGTGGTCCTCTCCAGCAATAGCATCATCTGCCCCAACCACTTCACGCCGCGGCGCGGTGTCAAGAACCACGAGCATGTGAACGTCAGCTGGTGCTTTGTGTGCACCGAAGGTAACCACAAACACCTCTGTGCAATTTAGTACATTGTCTAATCTGTATCGCGCAAGCTTTTGGTTGTCAAACTTTCAAACCGCAAAACATCTCCAAAATCTGATGAGTTCGAAACAAGTCAAGATCAATGTCAAAAACAGATGAAGGGACACACAACGCCATCTCTGATTCGAATCGGCTGCGCTTTGGCAACATTCACCGAGACGTTCAACGCGGCGATCGTCGTCAAGCTCTTGCTTTCAAAATTGCGTCCCGCAGGGGGCAGCCTGCTGTGCTGCGAGTCGTGCCCGGCCGCCTTCCACCGAGAGTGTTTGAACATGGAGATGCCCAAAGGCAGCTGGTACTGCAACGATTGCAAGGCCGGCAAGAAGCCTCGCTACAAGGACATCCTGTGGGTCAAGGTGGGACGCTACAGGTCAGTAACGGAGAACATTCCGGATACAAATCTGACCGTCCTCGCGTACTAAGCGCAGTCGTACCCGTTCGTCATTTGTGATGAAACTCAAATCAAATTCAACTGCCCAGGTGGTGGCCCGCCGAGGTCAGCCACCCCAAAAGCATCCCGGACAACATCCTGCGCATGAGGCACGACGTGGGCGAGTTCCCCGTCCACTTCTTTGGCTCCAACGACTACCTGTGGACCTACCAGGCGCGCGTCTTTCCCTATATGGACGTGGACGCCAACAGCAAGGAGAAGATGGGCAAAGGCGTGGACGCCACTTACAAGAAAGGTCAGGAAACGGCACCCGGGCGTACGTCTGGACGCGTTGTGACGGCTTCCCGCCCGCAGCTCTGGAGGAGGCGGCGGTGCGCTTCCGCGAGCTTCAGGCCGAGAAGGAGCTCCGCCAGCTGCAAGAGGACAGGAAGAACGACAGGAAGCCGCCGCCGTACAAACACATCAAGGTCAGCTCTCCGTATGGGATGTACGGGGCGCTTTAAATGTTCAACGTGCATTCGTAAGATTGTCACGGGTCTTCCGAAAATGCTCCGCTTGACTCCGCCTCCTGCAGGTGAACCGGCCAATAGGGAAGGTCCAGATCGTCACGGCCGACCTGTCGGAGATCCCGCGCTGCAACTGCAAGGCGACGGACGAGAGCCCGTGCGGCGTGGACTCGGAGTGCATCAACCGCATGCTGCTCTACGAATGTCACCCGCAGGTACGAAGAAAAGCGCGGTGGTGGGCGGCCGTGTGCTTTGTTTTCAGGACCGCCCCCGTTGTTGACTCATTCGATGAGTGCGGGGGTACCTAATGTTGTGTCCAAGCTCGACTAGCGGAGCGAGGAAAACGATACTTGTTCGTCCTGACGCACTTGAGAAACTACATATCACTGTGTCATTTTGCAGTTTGTGTTAATTATGCGTTTTGTCAAAAAAAGAAAAAGAGACGTTGATTCATCGTCGATAGATTGAGGACTGTCTCGAATACCACTGCGCCGCCGCAGGTTTGCCCGGCCGGCGAGCGCTGCCTCAACCAGACTTTCAGCAGGCGTCAGTACAGCCAGGTGGAGATCTTCAGGACGCTGTCTCGAGGTTGGGGCCTCCGCTGCGTCCACGATATCAAGAAGGTACAAAAAGAAAACAAAAAAAATGGCCACCGCACACGTGCGCCGTCATGCGGTCGGCTGGACGGGTTTCCGCACGTTTGCCACCAGGGTCAGTTTGTGAGCGAATACGTCGGGGAGGTGATCGACGAGGAGGAGTGCCGGACCAGGATCAGACACGCCCAGGAGCACGACATCTGTAACTTCTACATGCTCACTCTGGACAAGGTGCGGGGACTAAAAACGATTTGAATATTACAATTACAATTCTTTCAACGGATGTCATCGTGACTTGTTAGGATCGCATCATCGACGCCGGTCCGAAGGGCAACGAGGCTCGCTTCATGAACCACTGCTGCCAGCCCAACTGCGAGACGCAGAAGTGGACGGTGAGCGGCGACACGCGCGTCGGACTCTTCGCCTTGGTGGACATCTCTGCCGGTAGGCTGCCCCACAGAAGAAGGAAAAAAAAAAAAACAAATCGAAAGGTCTGGAAGAACTCTCACGGCATGTTTCTGTGCTCAGGCACCGAACTCACTTTCAACTACAACCTGGAATGTTTGGGCAACGGCAAGACGGTGTGCAAGTGCGGCGCGCCCAACTGCAGCGGCTTTCTCGGCGTGAGGCCCAAGGTAAGCTTGCTTCCTTATTTTATCCGATTTTTTTTCCCCACTTGTAAATTAGGGGTGCAGTTATTGAATAATTTTAGAATCAAGTCATCTACCGATCCCAACAATTAATCAGATAAAAAGAATTCAATATGTGCATGAGAGGGGCAGGTATGATTTTTGTCCATTTGGGGGTCACCATCCTCAGGTTCTTCTGTCGTATTTGTGACTTTGAATGTCGATTGGCTTTAAAATGCGCAGCCGGGCCTGGTGAGTGACATGGGTGTCGGTGAATGAAAGTGAAAAATTGCTGTTTGGGAACTGGGAAAGCTGTTGGTGAGTGACAGTTTTGTTTTGAGACGGGAAGAATCATTACTGCAAAGTTTCCAGGCAGAGATTTTGCTTTGATCTTTTCTGTTATCAAAGGATTTAAATGACTTGCTGGATTGTTGCTAAATGATGGGCTTTTCCCATCAGAACAACCCGCCGTCGGACGACAAAGGGCGCAAGCTGAAGCGCCGCGGCCACGGCCGGCGGAAGAAGAAGGTGGTGGTGACCAAAGAGCGCGAGGACGAGTGTTTCAGCTGCGGCGACGGTGGCCAGATGGTCTCCTGCAAGAAGCCCGGCTGCCCCAAGGTCTACCACGCCGACTGCCTCAACCTCACCAGGAGGCCCGCCGGTCAGTGTTCGCCAGTCACGATTTATGCGATCTCATGTTTGCGGTTGACCGAGAAGATGGAAGGATTTGAGCGACGTGACATGTCCGCCGTCTCCTTTCGTTACCCGATCACTAGCCGGGGCGATATCAGTTTTTCCCGTTTCACCAAATTGTGAATCGGCAGTCACGCGCACGCGTGGAGTGAATATTTCCGAGACGAGGATTGATTTACAGTTCGAGAGGAGACATGCAAACCAGGTGACATTAAAAACAAACGACGTGCCGAGGATTTTCAAGGAACAACAAGCGGGAGATGAGCTTAGCTGCCCGAAGGAGGCTCTGCTTTGTCTCAGCCCTTTGCGATCCTCGGCCAGGCGCAGGCGGCGCTGTGGTGGCCGTTAGGTCACAGAAAGCTGTTTGTTTGTTCGTTCATTTATTTGCCGCTCCTTTTTTTTTCCCCCTCAGGCCGCTGGGAATGTCCACGCCACCAGTGCGACATCTGCGGCAAGGAGGCGCTGTCCTTCTGCGAGATGTGTCCCAGCTCCTTCTGCGGGCAGCACCGCGAGGGCCTGCTCTTCATCTCCAAGCTGGACGGCAAGCTGTGCTGCACCGAGCACGACCCGTGCGGACCCCACCCGCTGGAGCCGGGCGAGATCCGCGAATACGACCCCCAGCCCCGGGCCTTGACGTCGGGCTTGGGGATGGCCGTCATCACGCCGTCGTCGGCCACGCCGAGCGTGGCCTCTGCTGGCGCGCGCCCCGCCCCCGCCAGGCTCCCGGACGTTGGCCAGGGTCGTCCCTTTCCCGCTTTTGCCATCCCGGTGCCCATCACCATTCCCGTTTCGGCGCCCGGCGCCTCGCCTGCTGCGGGCAACGGTGGCGGCGGCGGCTTCGACCTCCCGCAGTACTCGCCCATCTCCTCCTACGAGGAGGACAGAGACGTACTGGAGGAGGACGAGGATGAGGAGGAGATGCTGGATGAGGAGGATGAGGAAGAGGCTCTGGAATATCTTGAGATCAGAGATGACGATGAGGAGGGGGAGGAGGAAGAAGAAGAAGAAGAGTGACGCAGTGGTTTGTTCATATCGACTTTATCGAATCCCACTCACGTGGCGTGAATTCTGTGACAGGAAGCACTTGTGACGCAACCTCGGACCCTTTGCGCACACTCGCTGGCGACAACAAAAGTTTCATGGGGCGCGGTGTTGCGCCATGACTTCATTTCCGGCGTCTTTCGCGCTCGCCGGCCATAACATTAGGTACACCACAGGAGAGTCAATATGAGAGCCGTCGCCAAGATTTTCTGCCCGTTAAAACCCATCACAAGGTGACGATCTTCATTTCGTGAGGCCGTAGCTTTGTCTTATAGAAAGACGAGATTTCGGCCATCTTGTGACTTCTTTCGGCAGTTACAAACCTTTTAGCCGGGCTTTTTTTTTTTTTTCTCTTTTGTGTCATCATGCTAATTCGATTGTAAGAAGTGATGAGGTGACACGAATGAACAAAATGACGATCAAAGCAAATACCTCTTGCACTCACTTTTGCACTAAGTGGAGGTATGCATACTCGGTTTTGAATGACTCGTAATGTAACATTTCATTCAAAAAAAAAAAAGTCTACATAGAATCGGATACATTTCTAGTTAGCTGAAACTACTGTTAACTTATTTGCGAGAGCCAGAATTCCCACATTCCGCAGAAGTGACTCTGATTCTCCTATTTTGGGATTTTATGACACACCAAACTCAGAAGAAGAAAGAGCTTTGGCTGCCAAGGTCATTTCTTCACAGATAACCCAATAAAAAGGCGCCAAGAGCGACGGTGACTCACCGCATGTTTTTTTTGACATGCCCTTCGCCATTAACTCCGCAAATTGCGTCACCTTTTTTCACGGTGGCGACACGTATTTTCTACCGTCCTCTTGGCATTTCTCTTTCTTGTAATCATCTAGTCCAGGGGTGCCCAAACTGTTTGGACCTGAGATCGACTTTTCGATCAACCAACCCTACCGGGATCGCCCCTTACCGCGCACGCCAGCCATGATGAGAAACAGTCTGACACGGAGGCATGCAATGCACCTTTGCAGCCTGTTAACTATCTAGATAGCTCACACGTACCGTTTTAAAGTGCTTTCCTGGGCCCTCTAGATTCCTCTGAATGCAAACTCTGAATGAGAATAATGACGATAAGATGCAGCTTGCTTGTGGAGGCTCTCAGTCGTACAGGAAAGTTCCATCGTAGAAAGGGTTCTGTCAGTCGTCATCTGTACCTGTGGGTAAAAAACAAAAAAA